GCACGCGACGAGTTAGTGAGATAGTGTTTTGTTCACGACGATGCGTAGCAACGATATACGCGTGCGCCCGTGTGTGTGCGTCTGTGCGTGTGTATGTATGTATGTATGTATGTATGTATGTATGTATGTGTGTATGTATGTATGTGTGTATGTATGTATGTGTGTGTGTGGGGGGGGGGTTCCAGTCACCTCGTTATATTAGCATCCTGCTACTTATCTGCTGCGTAGCGAAACCACCATGCGTGCGTGCGTGCGTGCGTGCGGGCGTGTGTGTGGATCGAGTCACCGCGTTGGCATCTCAGTGTTAGCTACTTCATTGCTGCGGCGGAATTATGTATAGCTTCAGTCGATTCTCCTAAAGTGTCCAACCTTATCGCTGTGCTGGCACGACAGTAAAATGCTCGTTCGTGATGCTACTCGTGGATTACTTGTGATTGTGATTCGTTGTTCTTGTCAAAACTGATGTCGTCACCGTGTCTGTGTGAATCGTCTGCTAATTATAAAACTCGCTGTACTCTGTCTATTGTACGCGCTGTTGTCGTTTTACCTGTTTCGAAAGGTTTTGTGGAAAGTATAGGCAGAAAGTATCGGTGGAAAGTATCGGCGGAAAGTATTGGTGGAAAGTATCAGTGGAATGGATCGCTGGAAAATATCGGTAGACGTTTATTTCTGGACGCGTTTTTGTGTGAATCTCGTGCTAAATATTATTCGCTGTGGCCTTGTAAATATTTTGTACGTGGAGTTGTTTTCCTGTTTCAAAAGTATCGGTGGAAAGTATCAGTGGAAAGTATCGGTGGAAAGTATCAGTGGAAAGTATCGGTGGAAAGTATCAGTGGAAAGTATTGGTGGAAAGTATCGATGGAAAGTATAGGTGGATAGTATCGGTCGAAAGTATCGCTGCATGGATGTTTACTTCTGTACGTGTTTTTGTGTGAATATCGCGCTAAATATTATTCGCTGTGCCCTTGTAAATTTGTTGTACGTGGAGTTGTTTCCCTGTTTCGTAAGTAACGGTGGAAAGTATCAGTGGAAAGTATCGGTGGAAAGTATCGGTGAACGTTTGCTTCTGGACTTTTTTGTGTGTGAATATTGCGCTAAATTAATATTATACGCTGTGGCTTTGTACATTTGTTGTACGTGGGGTTGTTTCCCTGTTTCGTAAGTATCAGTGGAAAGTATCAGTGGAAAATATCGGTAAAAAGTATCGGTGGATAGTATCAGTCGAAAGTATTGGTGGAAAGTATCGATGGAAAGTATCGCTGCATCGATGTTTACTTCTGGACGTGTTTTTGTGTGAATATCGCGCTAAATATTATTCGCTGTGCCCTTGTAAATTTGTTGAACGTGGAGTTGTTTCCCTGTTTCGTAAGTATCGGTGGAAAGCATTGATGGAATATATCGGTGAACGTTTGCTTCTGGACGTGTTTTTGTGTGAATATCGCGCTAAATGAATATTATTCGCTGGGGCCTTGTAAATTTGTTGTACGTGGGGTTGTTTCCCTGTTTCTTATGTATCGGTGGAAAGTATCGGTGAAAAATATCGGTGGAAAGTATAGGTGGATAATATCGGTGGAAAGTATTAGTGGAAAGTATCGATGAACGTTTGCTTCTGGACGCATTCTTGTGTGAATATCGTGCTAAATACTATTCGCTCTGGCCTTGTAAATTTGTTGTACGTGGAGTTGTTTCCCTGTTTCGTAAGTATTGGTGAAACGCATCATCAGTCGATTCTCCTAGAGTGTCCAACCTTATCGCTGTGCTGGCACGACAGTGAAATCCTCGTTCGTGATGCTACTCGTGGATTACTTGTGATTGTGATTCGTTGTTCTTGTCAAAACTGATGTCGTCACCGTGTCTGTGTGAATCGTCTGCTATTTATAAAAAGTCGCTGTATATTGTATACTGTATATTGTATACTGTCTATTGTAAGCGCTGTTATCGTTTTACCTGTTTCGAAAGATTTTGTGGAAAGTATAGACAGAAAGTATCGGTGGAAAGTATCGGCGAAAAGTATTGGTGGAAAGTATCAGTGAAAAGTATCAGTGGAAAGTATCGGTGGAATGGATCGCTGGAAAGTATCCGTGGACGTTTATTCCTGGACGCGTTTTTGTGTGAGTCTCGTGCTAAATATTATTCGCTGTCGCCTTGTAAATTTGTTGTACGTGGAGTTGTTTTCCTGTTGCGTAAGTATTGGTGGAAAGCACAAGTGGAAAATATCGTTGAAAAGTATCGGTGGAAAGTATTGGTGGAAAGTATCGGTGGAAAGTATCAGTGGAAAGTATCGATGGAAAGTAGCGGTGGATAGTATCCGTGGAAAGTATCGATGCATCGATGTTTACTTCTGGACGTGTTTTTGAGTGAATAGCGCGCTAAATATTATTCGCTGTGCCCTTGTAAATTTGTTGTACGTAGAGTTGTTTTCCTGTTTCGTAAGTATCGGTGGAAAGTATCGGTGGAAAATATCGGTGGAAAGTATAGGTGGATAGTATCGGTGGAAAGTATCGGTAGACGTTTACTTCTGGACGCGTTCTTGTGTAAATCTCGCGCTAAATATTATTAGCTGTGCCCTTGTAAATTTGTTGTACGTGGAGTTGTTTCTCTGTTTCGTAAGTATTGGTGGAAAGCATTAGTGGAAAGTATCGGTGAACGTTTGCTTCTGGACGTGTTTTTGGGTAAATATCGCGCTAAATTAATAATATTTGCTGTGGCCTTGTACATTTGTTGTACGTGGAGTTGTTTCCTTAGCTGTTTCGTAAGTATTGGTGAAAAGTATTGGTGGAAAGTATTAGTGAAAGTAATGGTGGAAAGTATCGGTGGAATGGATCGCTGGAAAGTATCCGTGGACGTTTATTTCTGGACGCGTTTTTGTGTGAATTTCGTGCTAAATAATTATTTTTCGCTGAGGCCTTGTAAATTTGTTGTACGTGGAGTTGTTTTCCTGTTTCGTAAGTATTGGTGGAAAGCATCAGTGGAAAATATCGGTGAAAAGTATCGGTGGAAAGTATCGGTGGAAAGTATCGGTGGATAGTATCGGTCGAAAGTATCGCTGCATGGATGTTTACTTCTCGATTCGTTTTAGTGTGAATATCGCGCTAAATATTATTCGCTGTGGCCCTGTAAATTTGTTGTACGTGGAGTTGTTTTCCTGTTTCGAAAGTATCGGAGAAAAGTATCAGTAGAAAATATCGGTGAAAAGTATCGGTGGAAAGTATCGGTGGAAAGTACCGGTGGATAGTATCGGTGGAAAGTATCGCTGCATCGATGTTTGTTTCTGGACGCGTTTTTGTGTAAATATCGCGCTAAATTAATATTATTCGCTGTGGCCTTCTAAATTTGTTGTACGTGGAGTTGTTTCCCTGTTTCGTAAGTATCGGTAGAAAGTATAGGTGGAAAGTATCAGTGGAAAGTACTGGTGGAAAGTATCCGTTGAAAGTATCGATGGAAAGTATCGGTAGACGTTTACTTCTGGACGCGTTCTTGTGTGAATCTCGTGCTATATACTATTCGCTGTGCTCTTGTAAATTTGTTGTACGTGGAGTTGTTTCCCTGTTTCGTAAGTATCGGTAAAAAGTAGCGGTGGAAAGTACTGGTGGAAAGTATCGGTGGAAAGTATCGGTGGAAGGTATCGGTGATAATTATCGGTGGAAAATATCGGTGGGTAGTATCGCTGGAAAAAATATAGGCGGACATTTCATTTCTTGACGCGTTTTCTCGCCAGATTTTCCTTCTTCGGAAGAAAATCGTTTTCCTGTGTCGTCGTCGGTGTCGTGTGTGAATTTTAATTATGCGTAAAGCCGGCCTTAGGTCGGGTTGCGAT